TTAAAAAGGAAATCAACTCTAGTAGTAAATTTTAAAAAGTAAAATGGAATTTTTTTTAACTATACTTAGTTAAATATCGAAAGACGCATTTTCAAAAATAACACAAATCTCAAGAAAATATTGTATTTTTAAAATTTACATGATTAAACTTACAAGTCACATGACCACTGTTAACAAAGCATTCATGGATGTTTTCTTCTCAGGGTGTAATATTTCATGGAAGTTGAGTGCTTTTGTGGGGAATAAGTGCCTGTAACACGGACAACGAACTAATATGTGTATAATTTATTCCAAGCTCATTTTGGAGAGGAGAAAAAAAATTTAGACTTCTTTATTGCCTCGGTTAACAGGAACCTCGGTTAATCGAAGCTCGGTTAATCGAGGTTCTACTGTATTTAAAGAGTTACTTAATAACTGTAAAAACAATCAGTGCTTATATTTTTATGCAATATTTCAAATTAAATAGATGGATATGATTTAAGTCAAATAAAAAGATAAAATTAAAAAAAGATATGATTAAATCAAATTAAAAAAAATAAAGCTTTTATTTAAAAAAAAAATCTTTATTTTTTACATTTTTAATTATTATAGTTGAAAAGCTTAGTAGATTAAAACTCTCAATGAAGTTTCAATAAATTTAAGTAATTAACTTTAAAGTATAAGTTGACTATAGGAAATAAAAATTATAACTTGCTTTTATTTTTTATCTACAAGCTTTTTATTGGCAAAAACTATAAAAATATTTAAGTCATAGTATTCAAAAGCTTGTCATTATAATTTTCTCTCAAATGTCATGGTTTCTAAGGCTACTTGTTGACTGTTTGCTGCCGAATGTACTTTGTACCTTCATCCACTTTAAAAACTCTACCAAAATTCTAAACAAAACACTTTGTCCTTGAAAATCCCCCAAATTTAGTGACTAAATAAATTAAATAAATGTTATATAGTTAAGTAAGACAAAAATAAGATCTTTCTGCATTAGTCTCTATTTTTTAAAAAAATGTCAGTATGACAAACTGCATCCGCAAAGCTCTTCAATTGTATTCAATAATCTATTTATAGACAATTATGCAATATCAGTATTTTGGAATGTATGAATAATCTCAATCTTAAATTCTAGGATAATGAGTATCAAGGCATGAATGTTAAGCGTCGCAAGGTAGGAATTTTTTTTTTTTTGTCACAACTCTGTTTTTTTATCTAATAACATATTTAGTGTTAAATCAAAAAATGTTTTTTCAAACAAAACTGTTTAAATTTCTGTGCTTCTTAAAGTACTTCTAAAACTTTTAGTTTGATGATATACTTAATGTTAATTTGGATAGTTTTTTTACTGTACAAAACTGTTTTAATTTCTATATCTCTTAAAGTACTTCCAAAAATTTTAGTCTGCTAGCACATTTAATATTAATTTAAATGAAGTTTTATGATACAAAACTATTTTAATTTCTTCTTCTCAGTAATTCTTAAATTACTTCCCAAAATTTTAGTCTGATAAACATATTTAATGTTAATTTGGATTCTCTTTTATCATGTAAAGCTTTTTAATTTCTGTATTTCTTAAATTGCTTCTAAACATTTTATTCAAGGTTTTAATTCTGGGAATAGTAAATTTATTTGTGTATGGAAAAAAACCAAAGTGATCAGTGAGTTTAGATACAGATTTTAAAAGAGAGCTTTTTAAAAATTTTGAGAAAATTTATTTTTGTTGTGACGAAACTTAAAAGCAGAGTATAAATATTTTTCAAAATATCATTACTTTTTTAAATTCATTTCAGTTTAATGAAAAGTTTATAAATAAAATTTTATGCCATGTGGAATGAGATAAATAATTTTCTGTTACTACAATCTTTTAAAATAATGAAGCATAATATTGTCCAAATTAATTTTTTTTATTGTTATTAAATCTTTTTTAACATTTAATATGCATTAAATATTTAAAACGGACAACAAAGCAACTACAATTATAAATTAATTAAACAGTTTAAAATGCATAAAAAATTAAATTTTAAGTAGAGTAAACTAATCAAACAGATTAAATAGAAGAAATTTTAATGAATTTCTTTTTGGTCTTTTTGCACTTCTGATCTAGACTTATATTTTGCGGGAATAATTTTGGATCATTTTGTATCTAAGTGTAAGGTTAGTATTTAGTGATTCTAAAAACCATTTAGATAAAATTCTGTTTGCTAATTCTGTTATTAGTCCTTTAGTACTAAATACAGCGCTTATTGAAAATAAGAATATAATTATTCATTATCTAATAATATATTCATTCAAAATAAATAATGCTTTTTCTTTTTTTCAGATAAGTAGAATGTTGCCAAAAATTACAAATCAATTAGTAGCTCGAAAAGAAGTGCAAGCATTTCCGAACAAACAACCTGTAGCTCCAAAAATACCTAATTTGGAACCTGATACAACGCACCTAGATGCACAAGTTAAGATTAATGTTCCTGAATTTAAACCAGTTACAGTTTCTATGAATTTGAGTGAATCTACATCCTTAACACCACAAACGAAACTTACAACTCAAACTGATATTTTATCTCACAAAGTAAACGACACAATGCTTCTAAATGACTGGAAATCAGTTACTTGCTCAGTACAGTCAGTTGTTTCATCATCTCCTGCTGTACAACCTTTAAATGTTTATGTAAATACCACTGGTTTTTCGGCTTCACTTACAGGGCCTGAAATGTCTAGTGCATCAACAGTGTTGTCGAACACACCTGCCAAATTATCCAGCGCGACATCTGTGATATCTAGCATACCATCTGTATTACCTAGCACCATATCTGCATCATTTCAAAATATGTCTTTAGTGCCATCAAGCATGCCACCTGTATCATTAAATATACAATCTGTTTCATCAAATGTGCCATCTGTATCATTAAGCATACCATCTGTGTCATCAAGCATGCCATCTGTATCATTAAGTATACCATCTGTGTCATCAAGCATGCCATCTGTATCATTAAGTATACCGTCTGTGTCATCAAGCATGCCATCTGATGAGTCAAAGTCAGAAATTGTATCATTAAGTATGCCATTTTTGTCATCAAGCACACCACCTGTATCATTAAGCACATCATCTGTATCATCGAGCACATCATCTATATTGACAAGCACACCATTTTTTCCACTGTCACCTGTGACAACAAGTGAGCTAAGTTTATTGCCAAATGTGTCATCACAGTTGTCTAAATCTCCACCTGTATTGCCAAAATTATCGCCTTCATTATCAAATTCACCAGTCTCATTGCAAAAAACTCCTCCGTTGCCCAAATTACTTCCTGAAAACTCCCAAATTCCATTGTCAAGCTCGACATCCACAACAAAATCATCATCTATTTCGTCAAGCACATCTCCCTTACCAACAGTCACGCCGTCCTCATCAAACACTGAACCTGTTTTGCAAAGAATGTTGTCCCCTATAGAAGACGCCACTAAGTTGCCAGATGTATCATCTGCAGTGTCAAACACACCACAAAAATCACTGGTACCCACACTAAAATCTGGTTGTGAGTTGTATGAATCAAAGTCAGGAGTTTCTGAGCCTTTAAATGAAATTGTCACACCAAAGAAAAGTGAACCCTTTATGTTAGGGGCAAAAGTCGACCATTTAGAGTCTTATAAACCTATTAAAGTTTCTCCTCCAACTTTAATCAATGAAAAGGAAATTCAAACAGCTGTTGTGAGGCCAAGTATTTTGACTCACTACATAGATGGATTTATGATACAAGAAGCAAACGAGCCTTTTCCAGTTAGTATAAATTTTATACGTTAAGAAAATTTGGTACTTACGTATTAACACAACCAGGCCAAAATTCACATAAATCGCCAAATTTGGCGACCCTACTTACGGCAACCCTACGTGTTATAATTTTGTTTTAATAACAATTTGTAATTTTTGTTTTAATAACAATTAATAATAATTAATTAATAATAATTTGTTTTATTAATAATAATTTTGTTTTAAATAATTTTAAAACAAAATATAAAAAACTGTATTAAAAATTATCTGTAATTAATAAATGTACATTTTCTTTCTATTCATACTTTCTTACTCAAACTTACAAATCGCGCCAACCTGGTTGCGATAATACGTAAGTACCGAAAATTTTAATATGTCAAGAAGTACATTATTATGTTAAAGTTATGTTCAGTTGAAGCATATTATTTTGTTAAGTTAAGATTTGAGTGAATGAGCATATTGGAAAAATGTAAATTTCCAGCTTTTTGACTAGATAGGTATTAGGCTTGTTTCCTTTTCATCAATTGAACTTTTGTTTAGTCTTGGAATGATAGTATTCAACTTTTAATTATTTTTTTTAATGTTAGAAAAATATTAAGTGTAAAAAAAAAAAAATTTAGTGGGATCAAGTTAGAATATCTCGTACTGTGATCATTGCAATTACTATATATGTATGTAAATTTTGATATTTTCAGAACTATAGTTACAAAACAATGCTGTTTACAAATTGAATGTAATACTTCCATTAATGTTAAAAGAACAAAGTATCAGTAATTACAATACTGATTTAATTTAATGGCATATTTTTAATTCTTTTCTGTATATTAAGTCAATTAAGTTTAGTCAAGCTAACTCAGTTAATATGACCATTAAGTCATAAATGTTCAAACCTCTTTAGATTAAACAATTTTTTGAGAAAAATAATGATAAAAAGCATATTTTTTTAAAAAAAGCATATTTTATTGTAAAAGTAATAAATTAATAAATATTATGTACTTAATTGTTCATTTGAAAGCTTTAAAAAAGAAGTTTGCTTCACCATTTTTTTTTGTTTACTGATCTTGTAATTAATTTAATTATATTTTAAAAACTAATATTATGCATTTTTTAAAATAATATTTAGGTTTCATCACCTTATCAAAACTGCACTACTTGTACTTCATCAAGGATTCAGAAGTTCATTGAAAAACTATCGACTGATTCTCTTAGTAAACGAGCTGCTGATTCTCTTTCAAAACCAGTTACTGATTCTTTTTCAAAATCAGTTACAGATTTTCTTTCAAAACCAGTTACAGATTCTCTTTCAAAACCAGTTACAGATCCTCTTTCAAAACGATTAGCTGATTCTATTCCAAAGCTCTCAACAGAGACTCTTTCAAACCCATCAACAGATTCTGTTTTGAACTCATCAACTGAGCCTCTTTCTAAACCACATGAAGACCCTCTCTCTGAACCACAAACAGAGCCTCTTTTATCTAAACCAAAAACAGAGTCCCTTTCTAAACCACAAACAGAGCTTCTTCCTCAACCACAAACAGAGCTTCTTTCTAAACCACATACCAAGTCTCTTACAAATTTATCATCAGTATCTCATACAGAACCATTACCACAATATCTTTCTAGATTACGGCGGAAGTCTCTTTCAAGAACACCATTAGCGTCTCCAAAAGGTGAAGAGTTCTTTTGTTAAAACATCATTAGTTCTTCTTTAACAATATCTTATTAATATTATTGTTAAAATGATTTAATTGTATGGTTTATATTTTCCAGCTTCTACTCCTGATGAAAAAGGCGAAGTTTTAATCAAAAGAGGTAATATTAACTCAGTTGTTTGTTTGAAAAAAATTGGGTTAAATTAAAAATATGAAGCATAAACTCTTATTTAAAAATAATAAAATAATCTTTTTCTATTCTATTCTAGATGTTTCCTCCCATTTTTCTATGTGTTTTTTCTTGTTTCCCCCCTTTTTTCTATGTGTTTTTCTTGTTTCCCCTCTTTTCTATGTGTTTTTTCTTAATTTTTTTAAAACTGTCAAGAGGCTTTTTACCTCACAAAAGAATTTAAAGGAGTTAGAAAGTATTTATTTTACTGGAATATACCTGTCCAAAAAAGTATTTATTCCTTTAAGCTTTAAATTTTGTATAACTTTTGTTTAAAATGAAATTCCTTGTTTTCACTAACAGTTTTCATTATCTAAAATAAGATATATCTGATTTTAGATTGTGTGAATCCTTTTTGGTGACTATTATTATTTTAAGAAGTCATGGAAAATATTTATTGAATTTAAGGGTAACTCACTAATTCTTCGATCGTATTAAATTTAGAATAAGTGTTACCTTTTTATCCCTTTTAAAAAAAATAAGTTTGAAGAAATTAAATTTTTAAAGCTCTATATTATACTATATTTTTTTTAGCTGTTTGTTTCTTTTTAATATAATCTATTCAACTTGTTCTTAAAATGTCCTGATTACAAACCATATTAAAAGGTTTATTGATTTTCTTTTGATTTTTTTTGTAAAATATTGTCCTGATTTTTTATTTTATTTTGAACTACTGCAAAAGCTGTTCTAAAGTAAGAATACAATTATGCACTTAATATTTTCTAGCATTACTATAAATGTGTTGCAGTTTTTTAGATTTTTTTTGAAAAAGTATCTTTGTTTCCGCTTATGTCATAGAGTTTGGATGGTTCATTCATTAAGTTGAATGAATTTTTCACCATATAATGTTAGTTTAAGTAGAACAAATAAATACTTTGAAAACTCTGAAAAAAGGAAAAAAAATAGGATTAAATGATTAGTCTGAAACTGCAATTGACTCTGTTGTATTAGATTACATTTTTGTGGAGAAAAAAAACCTTGAAAAGATTTAAGCCTCTACTTTTCAGGTTTTTACAAAGATATTACCAATAGATACTAAATTTGTAGAATTATCAGTGCTTCTAAAATATTAAGTTCAATATTTTGCAGTAAAGATAATTTTTTTAACTATGCAATGTGAAAAGTAATTTTTTTTAAAAATTTTTGAAAAAAGTATTATTTTATTCTATAGAGTCAATAAAATTTTTATTGCTGAAAAGTTTATAATTTTTTATCAATATTTATTTCAGATTTTCATTAATTTTGTGTTTCTTTTTGAAGGAAATAATGAACTTTTTTTTTAGGTCGGGGTAGGCCAAGAAAAAAAAGTCTCCCAGAAAAATGTATTTCTAAGTCATTAGAGGTATGTAAATTATAGTTTTGTTTGTGTGATATGATAATCATATTTGATTACATTAGGTATCTATAACATTTAGATGTTTCAGACGTAAATTAGATGTTAAAAAGGAAAACCAAAGATTTTGGATTTTATGCAGCTTTATATTGTTGAATCAAAGCTTAACCCCGTCCCGCCCCTGTCAGGGGGCATCCAGGGAATTTATATTGTTGAATATTGTACCTCTATGATTTATTGAAACATTAAAGTATTAAATTAAAATTTTAATAGTTATTTTTAATCACATAATAAAAATATTTTATACTGTGCTACCACCATTATCAGACTCATACTGTATCAGTATGTTCTTGAACCTAAATCCTGATTAATTGAGAGGATTTTTTTTTTCAGGTCCGTATTCTAAATGTCATAAAATACAGTTTATTAAATATGTAATTTATCTGTAATTTTTATCACTTATTATTTAAAAGTTTGTATATTAATTAAAAAAATAAGTTATTTTTTTAAAAAACTTTGACTACTAGAGCTTTTCTAAGATAAGATTAGTTTTAAAGTAGGGAAGAATGTTTTATCAGACATTTTATAATCAGAGCTCTACTATAACAAATAAATTAGCCTTAACTTTATTACATAAACATTACAGTAAAATTATTACTACTCATTTTTCTACGAAATAAAAATGTTGCCATCTGTTGCTGTCTGAGATAATATGGTTTTTATTTAAAATCACCAAAAATTGCAAAATAACGTCTTGAGTAAATGCTTATAGCATTCTTGTTAAAATAAATAAAACCTGTATAAAATTTTAAAGTGCTTGAATCCTTCTCCTCCTTTATATGAATTTTAAAAATGATCCTGCTTTATATAGATTTAATTTTAACTTCATTTTATTATTTTATTGACACTTGGTGGCTGAGCGGTAGCGCTTCGCGCTGTCGTCTCACAGGTCCCTGGTTCGATCCTCGGGCCGGGCAAGGTTGCCTCAGCCTTTCATCCCTTCAGTGGGTCGATAAATGAGTACCAAGCATGCTTGGGAACATGGGTGCAAGTCTTCCATCTCCAGGACGGATTTCCGTCTTTTGAAAATGTCCACGGACGGAAGTAAGACGGAAGCAAGACTTGACTCGAAGATGGAAATTGGATTTTTTTTTTCTTCTGTCCTTAAAAATATTTTTTAGGTCTACGTTATTGGTCTACTTTCTTATGTCCTGTTGTTATTTTATCAAAAGACAGATGAATAAATATTTTTCGTACAGAATTTAAACTTGATGTATTATGGTAAAGCTTTCTTAGATAGTTAGCATACGTCGAGGGGGTATTGTGTATGTTAGGTATTTCAGTCAAAAAATTTTCAGTCTTGGCCTTTTTTCCAACTTGCACCCATGCTTCGGAACTAAACACTGGGGGTTCCACGTTCGGTTGACCACCTGACCGGAACATCTGCACCCCAGAGTCCAAGGTCAAGAAAACTGAGATGGGCACTGTAGGCCTTGGCCCTCTATGGGCTGTCGCACCGCTGAGTTTAGTTAATTATTTTATTGCATTTTTTCCTTTATTAATTATCATTAATATTATACTCCACCCTTTAACCAATCTGGGTCCAATTCGTACAAACATTTTCTTGTCATCTCCATTCCATAACATAAGGACTTTTTTCTCAGTTTATTAAGCCAGTCAGGTTTTATTGACCTACTGTGACTTACCGTCAGGAGAATAGTCTGTACTGTTATTGGACAAGTTGATGCTGATAAATTTGGAAACAGGTTATCTAATTTTATGAAAGCAAAATTTTCCATTTAGTGCAAATAGTTTATATTCTCGATCAATCTCAAACATTAAATCCTTTGGGTATATAGGTTGGCTGATTGATGTTAGTTTATGGACTTAATATTTGCATTTGATGTCTTTAGTTGTTTGTCACCTTCATTCTAGGACCCAACTTAAAATTTGACATAAAGCCTAAATTGTAAAAAGTAAGTAAAATTCATAAATAGGCAAAAATAATGCTATAAATAATAAATTAGTTCCATAATCTAGGAACAGCAGTAAAATGTTTGAAGGCAAGAGTTATTTCTCATGGCGATAAGTCAGTATCTTACCGTGTTTTGGTTAGGCCATTATAAGATTAAAATTTACTTATTTGACAGAGATTTTCCTGTCGCTTTCGTATGCTAATGAGATAATTTGTATTTTATGTGCTACTAAAATTTATTTGGATTGAATATAAAATTCAGTGTACGTTTTAGGAATCAACTGCAGAGATTGAGATTATGAGTGAGCCAGAAAAAAAGGAAAGTGTCATTATTTTAGATGATAAGAAAGAAGAGAATCTAGATCCACCAAACCTCATTCCTATCCATTTACTTGATCCCAGTGTTTCTCTATCAAAATGGAGTGTATGTATAACTTACAGTGTATAATTTTCAACAATTTTTTTTTAAATTTTAAACTTTCATGTGTTTTTATTTTTGAAAGATTTGATAATTGGTTTTAACAGGTTTGATATTTATTTCCTTATATGGCCTTCCTACCAACTTCCTTAATTTTTAAATGTCAATGGGTTTCTATTTTTCCACCTATGATTTGTGCAATCATCTGCTGACAGCTTTCAAAGCCCTTACTCTAAAATGGTTTGCCTCATGTTTTTTTTTAAAGCAGAAAAATAAAGTTACACCAAGATAACACACTGCTGGCTAAAAGAGTGCATGATTCATGCTGGAAACTAGCAGAACTGCACGTAAACCAAGACTTTTGACGCTTACAATGACTGAATTCTAAACAATGCATGATTAATTCTAAACAATGATTACTTCTAAACAATGCATAAGTAATATGACAACATAAAAAATAACTCGTAAAATAAATACTATGATAGATGAAAAGGGTGATTATGATGTATTGAAACAAACTTAAGCTACATAGTTATGGTTTTGGAAAAAGCATAAGCACAGAAGTACAAGTGATGACTCTATTTAACTCTCACATAATTTACGTAATGTCAATACGCATATACCTTAGCGAAAGTAAACTATTATTGTTACATCTGTTACAAAACTGTCTGCAAATTCTAAGCCATGATGTAAAAAGATGCGATATGAAGCAACATTCCATTACTCGGTTCTCTAGTGGTAGTCCCCACGTTCACTCAAACAGGTGTAAATAGAACCCTGAATGTAAATCTATCTGCCAACTGTTGTTGTGCTTTATTGGGGTTAAAGAAAATGTTGATCTTTTGTTTTAATGCTAAATCAGTTAGATTTCTGCTATACATATCGTCAAGTTGTATGTAAGCGAACATGGCACAAAATATTGACACTCTCATTCTCGGTCCAGATAAGATCTCGCTCTTCTGAGACTTAAAGCTATTCATTGTGTGGGATTAATAAGAAATCACTACCTGAAGATAATTTTTGATAAATTAAATAAAAATTCTGTTAACATTAATAAATTTATTGATCACAGAAAGTGATAATTTTAAAAAATGAATTGAGAAAAACAGGACCATAATTTTGATATCAATAAGCAACAACTGCAATCGCTCTAAATGGTGATTATTGTATAAAGTTTTCGAATATTTTATTCATATAAATTTATTGTTTTGCAGGTTGATGATGTTTACACATTTGTAAAAAGCATTCCTATTTGTGCAAATGATGCAGATTTGCTTAAAGAAAATGAAGTTGATGGTGCAGCACTGTCTCTGTTGAAGATGGAGCATCTCATAGATTCAATGGGATTTACAATGGGACGTGCATTAAAGTTGATGGCAGAAGTTGATAAAATAAAGAGGCTATGTGCTTCTTAAATATCAGGAGAGAGGAAGATTCGACTTATCCTGTGTTGTCAATTTAATTGTAATTTAAGTTTATTTAACTAAGCTAGGATGTTAGTAGTCCGGAAGTTCTTAAAAAATATTTTAAAAGTCTAAAATAAAATCACCAAAAATGACCTTAAAATAAAAAATAATGCTCTTAAAAATTTTCAGAAATATATTTCATATTAATTTTAGAAAAAAAAAATATGTGTCCCAATTTGCATTTACAGAATTTGCTGAATACAGTAAAGGTTAGAATAAATATGTTTTAGGTAAACAAGCAAAAAAAAAATATGTATGCATATATAATATATCAGGGTGCGTAGCTTTTTTAAAAAGTGCTTAAAGGTGCTTATTTTCAATTTTTGTTTTTTAAAAGCTCTTAAAGGTGCTTTGGGTGTTTTTAAAAAGTGCTTAATTTTCGAAAATGAAATTTTATTTTTACCATGTCGATTTTTGCTGCGTATTATGAGCTGGATTCGGTGAGATTTTTGCACTCTTATGTGCAACTCTGCTGCATTTTGCAAGGTATTCTCAATTTCAAGCTTCATTTTCCACCCTCAGATATCAAGCCGAAAAATCTCTTTATCATTTTATAATGGCCAATATAATCAAGAAAAAGTTCTTTGTCAGAAACTAGTTATTTTATCATGATCAGATAAAGTCTTTTAAAATTATTTTGCATTTTGTTAATGTATATAGTTGCTTGAAAATATTTTTTGAGTGCTTAAAAAGTACTTATTTTTTGTTGAGAGATTTGGCTACGCCCCTGTATATATACAGTCGAACCCCGATTTAAGGAATTCATAGAGACAGTGACTATCATTCTCTAAATTGGTGATAATTCGTAACATCGGGCAAAATTTGGTAAATGGAAGTTTGTTAAACTGGGTCCAACTGTGTATATATCTATGTATATATGTACATAAATGCTAGATAAATATAAATGATATTGTTAAAATCTTTCAAGTACATCTGAGTTTGTTAAGTATTATTAAATGTTCTTTGATATTCTCAAAAATTGAAAGATTGTCCGTTGTTCAACAGCAGATTCTTAAGTCTTGAAAAACTCTGTTTAACATCTATACTTGTTATTATTATTTTTTAAATAACAAGTTTCAATGCAAAATTAAACTAATCTTAAAAAAAAAAAANAAAAAAAAAAAAAAAATGAATTGTAAAATGCTCTTAAAATGAAATATATCATTTATCATCAACATCCTAGCTCTGATAATTAATTATTTTATTCTTCATTTAGATTAGAACTACAATTTTATTTTGGTTAATAAAAAACCAAAAAAGATGTATAAATTTCGTTAACCAAAGAAGCAAATCATTTTTGGTTGCCCAACGTTTGTGTAGTCAAAAGAATTGGATTTAAAATTATATTCAGTCATTTTCTGCTTGATAACCATTATTTTGTTTTGGTTAACCAAAGAACTATAGAGAATTTATTTATTTTTTATGCTTTATTTAATTGAACTCTTTTAAATTTTTATGGTTTCAATTCAATAGTTTTTTTTATCTATACGTAATTCTATAAAAAACCTACTATTATTTAAAGCTTTAAATTATGATTTGAATATTATGTTTTAAAAATTGATTTTTGTCTTAAAAAAAATATTAATTTCTGGTTAACCAGATAAACATAGCGATTCGCTTTATAAACTACAGTAAATTTTTATATCTTCATTTTACTTATTCACCTTACATATTCTTATTTGTTCTGAATTCAGAAAATTTTGTTTCAATTTGACAAATTTGATCTGATTTCTTACAAATGTTTAAATTTTACTTATGAATTATAAATTTAGTTTTGTTTTTATTACAGTTATTATTAATAAGTTTAATTTGCTTTTCTTACAGTTTATTATTTTTTTTGTATGTAAGCCTTTTAAGCAGACTTTTTATTTCTAAACTCTCTTCTCCCTTTTAAACAATTTTTTATTTTCAAAAATCCGTTACTTTTTTCATATAAATTTTAAATAAAACTTTAGTTGAGTTTAATTAATCTAGATTATTTATCTCTTCCTATTATTTTCCCTCCTTCTTTAATGTTTATACTTAATAATGTTTTTATGACTCTTAAGTACTGTTGTCTCTCATAGGTGCAGGTTTTATTTAATAACATGTTCATTTTAATAGTAATAACCTGAAACCAGAACTCTAAATAATGGCAGAAAGTGAGATTTTTAGTTAAAATCATCTGGCTTAAAGAATGTCAAATTATAAATGAATAATTTTTTTAATAATAAATTTCATGCTATTAAACTTAATTATTTTTTAAATATTTCTAATTATTGCATAAAGAAATGATAAATTTTAATTTTCATCATTTTTTACATACTGTAAGATACTTTTATAGTATGATACTTTTATTTCTTCAAAAATAGATCATGAAATAAATTCCACTTGACCCAAATAATGCAGTATTTGTATGTTTTTTAAAACTGTCCAAAAGATTACTTTAATCGAATCTCTTACCTTTCTAATAAATTTTTATTGTCATTAAAAAATTCCATCCAATAAGAGTAATTAATTGTAGTCTAGATAATCACTATGTAAAGGTATATAAACAGAATTTTTTCTTCTTCTGAATATGAAATTTTTGTGATAAATTTTAACAAATGTTGTCTAATTTGAATGTTGCATAAAACTGGATTTTTAAAATTTTTTTTTAAGTGATAAAATCATACCAAATGCTGTTCAATTTGAATGCTGCATAGAAACAGAAAATAACTTTTTTTTTAGTGATAAAATTCTACCAAATATTTAATTCAGATGCTGGGTTTTAGTAGGACATGATAATTTTTCATTTGATATTAAAAACTTTAAAAAGAAAAGTTTTGCTCAGTATTAATGATAATTGAGGTAGTTTAATGCATTAATAAAATTAAACACCTTTGCTGAAAAATAGAAATACAGTTGTGTTCTTTTCATCCTTTTATTGTTACTTTATATTTAAAAGCGTTTTTTTTTGTTGTAATTAATACATCAAAATATTTGTGCTGCATAAAATGTTATTTGATTTTTTTAAAACAAAAATTGATTTACAAGGTGTGGCTGTTAATTTACAGGATTGCTTGTTAATAACTCTTGAAAATAAAAGAATTACATACCCAGTTAGTGTATGCCTATGGTAATAAATGAATGTGTTTTTCACAAAACATTTTCTAGAGATATTTAATGAGATCTGTCTTGGACATTTATCACCACATCTTGTAAATAAAATATGCATTACTAAAATCTTGTAAGTGAAATACTCTTGTAGGTAAAATATGTATTAAAATTAGCATAAAAAATGAACTTCGATTGTCATTTTGAAAAAAACATCTCTGTTTTTGTGCAATGAACGCTATAAGAATCATCCAAAACTGTTTTGATCAGTTTAAACTGTAATAAAATTAAATTTTTAAAAATCTAAAAACTGACAAATATGCTGTATCAATTTATTGATTCAAATTCATAAATAGCACAAATCACAGTTTTTATTGCTTTTAAAGTTTTGAGAAAAATCCTGCAGAAAGTCTGAAAAATTATCAAGCTGTATTTCTCCTTTTCTAATAAAGCAACCCGTTTATTTTCCACCTCTTTTGAAAGATATTGCTTTGCCGAATAATATGGTGTCATAAAAAGTTTCTTAGTACAAAAAAACACACCAAGAAAATGAAATACAAAAATTTAATCCAAAATCCAAGATGGCGCAGGTAGTGGCCTCTTTAAATCACTGATAAACTCGTGCACTAGTTAAACATTCTTTGCCGAACATTTTTGCAATAAAAGTTGCAAAAAATATTTTGTAAAAAAAAGGTTTCAACACCTATTTTTTTTCTAATTACATGTGAAATTTCATGGCGATTAGTTGTTCTATTATTAGTCTTATAATTTTTCCGGAAAAACGAAACGGCTCTTTTAAAAAGGAAGATCATGGCTAGCCTAAATTCTCTACAGGCACAGGAGATACACATTCTAAAGAGAAGGATTCACACTATATAGTTGTTTGGTCATTGGCTTACGCATAGTTCTTCCATGAAAGCATTAGTCTCTTTATTTATCATCCATACCTTTTGGGTCGTAAATAAGACTATTTTGATAGATATAAATTAATTCGAAAGATACGATCAATATAAATTGGGTTCATGTACTGATTGTTAGCAGTTGTGATAAAAGGTTCTTATGTCCCAAGGGTCTTCTCTCTCATTACTTAAGTCAGCAATGATATNGGAGCATATGTTCCGGTCAGGTGGTCAGCCGAACGCGGAACCCCCAGTGTTAGTTCCCAAGCATGCTTGGTACTCATTTTATCGACCCACTGAAGGGATGAAAGGCTGAGTCGGCCTTGCCCGGCCCAAGGATCGAACCAAGGACCTGTGGCACGACAGCGCGAAGCGCTACCGCTCAGCCACCGGGCGTCATTCGAAAGATATAGTCGATATAAATTGGGTTCATGTACTGATCATTAGCAGTTGTGATCAAAGGTTCTTATGTCCCAAGGGTCTTCTCTCTCATTAATTAAGTCAGCAATGATATAAGCTTCAAGGAAAGTTTTACTTTCCCATGAATCATAGTGCCTTATTCTATTTCTACTACCTCTTTTATATCATTTTTTTGTTATTTAATTTGATACTGTGATACTTAATGCAGTTGTTTTATTTCATGTTTATTTTATTACAGTTTGTCATCAAGTATTTCAAAAAGTATAAACAAGTGAAATCTTTGTATTTAATTTATAATGCCGTAGTTCATTGTATGCTGTTTGTTTCTTATGTTATGTGAATTAACGTGTAAAACTTATTGTTTTACTATTCTATGTTTTTATATTAGGTATAGATGCATCATAAAGTTTAAGTGTGAAATAATTTGCTCAACAAATAATACCTTATTATTAGCTTAAGTGTTTAAGTGATTTATTACCTCAAGACAATGCTCATAAGTTTGATAAAGTTATTGTGATTTTATTGTGTTGGAATTGAGTACTCTTTCCTGGGTACTTTCTAATTTTAATNTTTTAATTTTTTTTTTTTTTTTTTTTTTTTTTTTTTTTTTTTTTTTTTAAAGATTTAAGCTAGGTGTTACTATTTATTTTGAAATATTTTTTATAACTTGTGTTATAATTTAATTTTTTATCAGTTCGTATTTGTAATTATTGGAATTAAATGAATTTCGTACAAAATGTGTATTATTGCAAAAAAAATCCTAGCGATTAAAACTATCCCATAATGCATCCTTTACTAATGATGATCAAGTAAACTTTAGTACATGCGTACGTAGGTTAAAAGAGTTCTTTTGAACTAATTCAATTTTTAAGTTTTAGCTTACGAATGAATTACATTAACTCAAAAATGAATTAAATTAACTTACGAATGAATTAAATTAACTCAATTGTCTCAAAATTTTAACACTATAAGAAATTAGATTAATAAAGTAATAAATTTTCTAATAAATTACTTAAATTTTTTAATTAATAAAATTAAATTTAAATTAAAATTTTTTTTTTGGACGCGTAATATTTTTCCAAGAAACAAATTAAAGCATTTTGTTCAATTTTTTCGCATTCTGAAGTTTATGACTAATTTCTGAAGTACTAAAATTGCTTGTATTATTAGTTAATTATTTTAATTTAATCATCAAATAAATAAAATTAAAGTTATTTATTTTTTTAGCAAACATATTTGCATGAGTTGTAATGTTATTGTGCCTATTTGCCTGTCAGATATTAAGATTTAATTAATTTAAATCCGATCACCATTGGGAATTACTCTTGCAGAACAAGTTTGTTTTTATTAATTAAATGCATTAACAAAATATTTCCTAAGTTTTATAATCACTTGTATGACATAAAACTTAATAGACATAATTGAATTATTTATTTATTGATGGAGAAATAGGAATATAAATATATTTTCAACATAATGATTTAAAAAATAACAAGTGAATAAATCAATGAATTTTCTTTTGAACAAGCAAGTTAAACTCATGATTTAATCAAGTGATTTAGTGATTGATGAAATCCCTGTATTTAGATATATAAAGGTATCTAAATTTAGGTATTTAAATCTAGGTATCTAAATTGAAGGACTGAAATTTTATAACTAAATGTCATTCGCTTATATTGAAAATAAGTTATTTAAATTTCTG